ATGGAGAAAGGTTTTGGTTGGTGTGGTCACTCTAGTTGAGCTCCATGATCATATGTGGAGATGGAAAAAACCTACAGAAGGACAAATATCACTGCAACACTCCATCGATTTGGGCTTTATGGCGGTGTGGCAAGACTCAATCCTCTCCTCAGTGAAGACACATGAAAACACACTTAGAATTTGCAAAAAAGCAACTAAAGGACCCTCAGACTGTGAGAAATAATATTCTGTTTTAATATTACATAATATTCTCTGGTCTGATGAACCGCAATTCCAAGCATCATGTTTGAAGGAAACCAGCTCTGCTCATCACCTGCAGAGTACCATCCCAAAAGTAAAGTGTGGTTGTAGCAGCCTCATGCTGTGGGGCTGTTTTTCAGCGGCAAGGACTGAGGAACTCGTCAGAGTAGAAGAAAAGCTCAATGCACCAAAATATTGAGATAGCCTTAATGAAAACCCAGTCCAGAGCATTCAGAACCTCAGACTGGGCAGAAGGTGTACCTTCCAACAGGACAATGGTCCTAAGCACACAGCAAGAGCCAATTATAGACAACTGTGTGAATGTCCCTCAGTGGCCCAGCCAGAGCCTGAGCTTGAACTCAATCAAATATTTCTGGAGAAACCTGAAAATGTTCATCTGCCCCCATCCAACCTGACAGAGCTTGAGAGGTGAAGAGGTGAGGAGAAGAATGGCAGATAATTGCCAAATGCAGACTCGAGACTGTTTGATGTGGGAAAAAAAGTACACTTAAGCAGTTTAACATAAGTCAGCAACATAAAACGTAAACAACATGAAGGGGTATGCATACTTTCGCAAGGCACTGTAAATTAGCCTAATAACATAGGACTGCGTTGTTCTAACAAGTTATATATACATCTTATAAGAACTATTTGGGTTGGGAAAAAACATTAAACGTGGGCTTAATGAAGGTTAATTACAACAGGACTGCGTACAGGGAGGGGAAAGAGCTTCCCATTGACTTTGATGCAGAGGCTGTTTGGATAATTGTCCTCTTGTGGACAGCTGGTCTCTGCTAGACAAAACCTAGAATCAAAACAAAACATAACCTTTAGTCTAAAATTGGAATTATGGTGACAACATCTCTGTACATGCAGCTGAACCGGATACACAATGACAGTATTGTAAAAGCAACACACTGAGTTGGCTCTTACCGCAGTTGAATTTGAACCATGTAGTCCCTTCTTCCACCTGGAAGAAAGTCCCTATGCAAAAGTGTAACAAAAACAAAGAACCAAATCAGACAAGGATAAAGAGACAAGTTACATTAGCTAAGTCGCATTTAAGTCATTTAGTTCTTACCGTGAAATGCACACTTCTCTCACTTGTTGTGGAGTCAAAGCAAATATGAAGTACTTTTCATGATGAAACCTCTGACCAGCATGGGTCCCTTTAAAACACAAATCCGTCAAAAGGGGTGTATAGTTTTAAACTGGAGACACATGCAAACAGGAAATTATGTACAACCCAGTTGTTGGGGTAGCGATTGGTTCACATACACTATCATTCAAAAGTTTGGGATCGATTTAAAAAAATTTTTTTTTGAAAGAAGTCTCTTAATCTCACCAAGACTGTACTGATCAAAAATACAATAAAAATAGTAATGATGTGAAATGTTATTACAACTTTTAAATAACTTTTTTCGGTTCCGTTTTCTATTTTAATATATTTTAAAATGTGGCAAAGCCAAATTTTCAGCAGCCATTACTCTAGTCTTCAATGTCACATGATCCTTTGGAAATCAGTCTGATATGTTGATTTGGTGCACAAGAAACATTTCTTATTATTCTCAATGTTGAAAAGAGCTGTGTTGCTTAATATTTTTGTGTAAAACATTAAGCTTTTTTTTGTTCAGGAATCTTTTTGAAGAATGTAAAGATAAAGAACAGCATTTATTTCAAATCGCAAACTTTCATAACATTCTAAAAGTCTTTACTGAGAACTTTTGATCATTTAATGCAGCCTTGCTGAATAAAAATATTAGCCTAATTTCTTAAAAAAATAAATAAATAGTAAATAGTAAAATAAAAGCTTCAACCTCCCTTTAAAACTCCGATCATTTTTTTTTCTATTTCAAGCACGGAACAATCCAAACATATCTTATAAAATTACCTAAGCTTGACGGTTTGATCAAGACATCCAGCACATCGTAAAATGGTTGGGACTTCATCTGCACATCCGGGTGGACGGGGGCCATAAGTGGCGTGGCCTGCTGCATATTCATCATGGGCTTCGATTCATGAAACACAGGTGAATCGCAGCTCACCAGGTGCTGCTGCAGGAGGTCTGAATGGCCAGTTTGCAGAGGAAGATCTGAGCTCACAACTGTGGCACCGCTGTCTATTTGAAAGTAGGATTTAATGCTTGACTTCAGAGCCACCAAATCCTGAAGACCATCAAATGTCCGTGGGTATCTCCGACGATACAGTTCCTTTATTTTGATCTGCACAGCAGGACTACAACCACTCCGGAGTAAATGCAAAGCCCTCAGCAGAAGTTCATGCTTTCGACCGCTCTTATTCCTTCCAGCAAAACCTAACAGTACCTGGAGCTCCGAGACACGGAAACTTGATACCATATTCTGAAAAAACAAAAAAACAAATCCAGACAAGCAATAAACACTTTGAGATACCAAACATGAAATGCAAATGAACATTTTTGCAACAAGTTAGTAAGAGAAACCACCCTCTATGCCATGCTGACAGGCTTTACATTTAATATAAGAATTTCCAAAAACATAAAAATCTGTGCATTAATAATCAACATGGCATAAGCTGGTGGATTATGGTTACAACAGATTTTTCAATAACCAAAAGGTGTCATTTGAAAGCAGCTTAATTATATATAATAATAATTATGCGTGAAGTGAGGTGACAACCCACCCAAATACACCCATTCCAGAAACCCCAGAGAAATAAGAAAATCTCAACTGACCCTTCATTACATGGTCCATGCTTGATTGTTCTTACGTGTTAATCCTTTTTTCTTTAAAAATCCTTAACAAATGACCGAAATGCATCTAAAATGTTGAGAATAATTCCAAGACCAATTAGATGAACATCACGAGAATAACAAAGGACAAAACACAGATGTTCACTTTGATCCCGAGAGAAATGAACTGAACTGCTGGGGAAAAAAGCTTAATTTACAGTTAAGAAGGATCATTCTGAACAGTTTACAACACAACATAAATCAGTCATACAACGGCAAGTATAACAGCACACAAAAGCTTCCCTGAGTCCAACACACGGGCTATTTATTATTGATTGTATAGCTGCTGATGCTGAACTGCAATGCATTCGATTAAACTTTAGAAAGATGATCTATGCACTAAGTTAGTCAAAACTGTTATCTTGAGACAAATGTGAGGGAAAAAACGCTCACAGTGACAAGGACACATTCGTCGTGTTTGCTGGCGACCCACTTGCTGGCTTGTAAACAACATTTTTAAGGTGTCCCCCTTTAATGTTTACTTGCCATTTTAGTATTAAATGTTGACTTATATTTACACTCACATACACACTGGTCTATATATCGTTTATCCTTGCAAACACAAGTTATAAATCAAACTACATCTGTGGGTACATATAGACATTGTCCATCGCTGTCTGACGCTAGCTAACAAAAGATCAGCCAAAACAATTCGAGCAGTGAAGAAATTGAAACGTAAAATCTTTTTACCTGCAGCGAACAGTCGTCAGTTCAGTTAGGCATTATAATAAAGCGTTTTCATGCAGTAAAATATGGCAGTAAAAGCAGTGACATGTTTGCGTAGCAGATCGTGAGCTAAAAGAGTAACGTTAGCTGGTTGGTGGCTAACAGGCTAAACACAATCCGTCTAACGGAGTGATGGGACGTTTCAGTATTAACTATAAAAAAACTAACCCATGGGCAGCAAACCGACAGGTAAAATGGAGTAACAAACGGTAACTGCAAAATGTTTTTTAAAATGTGAAAGACGCGAAGAAGTAGCCAGCTATCATTGCACTTTCGCCTACCCGTAACTCCTCAATATCCGCCATTTTCTGGTGGCTCTCATCGAGATGTCGGGTCACGTGACACAGCCTGCGTTAAAGGGGTCATATCATACATTTTTGTATTTAAATTTTTGACCCCGAGGTCCACTTATAATGTTAGTAAAGGTTTTTCTTCGTCAAAATAGCCATATTTAGTTTTCTATCACCATTTCCCACGCTTTCATTGACCCATGGAATTAAACGTTTCTTTGGTCTACTGTGCCTTTAAGAAGTTCTTCTGTAAAGTTCATATACAAGAATTCCAGTGATTTCGGTGTGATGTTTATAAGGCAGCAATATAACAAAACGTGACAAAAAATGAAGGGGTATGATAACTTTCGCAAGGCACTGTAGGTCCATACTCTGATTAGAGTTTATTGCGGGAAGTTCATGCAGGATGTTCTTTTGTTCATCAGAGCATAGAGACCTTATTTTAAATGTTGAACTGTTATGGCAAGCCGTTTTATCTTAAAATAATCCCAGTGTTACTCGTCGTAATTGCATTTTTACTAGTAACAATTCAATTAGAGAGCTCTACAATTAAATTCTTACTAGTAACAATGCCAGTTAGAGAGCTCTCGACAAAATGTGTTTTAAAATATCTTTCTTTTTTTTTCGTGGTCAGACATTAGGGGGAAAAATTCAATTGCGACATTATTTTGTTGTATTTTTTCGATACGCTTAATTAGGCGATATTTTGCCGAGTGTGTTTTTGTGCTGGAACCGTGGTTTTGGTCAATAGGTGGCAGCACGACTCTGTCTTACTGAGTGATTCGTTTAAAAACACAGATTCATGCAAGTACCAAACATGTCTCTCGGAGACGCGCAACAGTTCTTTTCCGGCTTTGTTTGGAACTATTTGTGTTGGTGAAACAAAAACAGACAATATTGTATCCAAAATGTAACTCACTTGTATTAATTTCTTGGTTGTTGAACTGTATAAATTCAACATCACATTCACGATCATTCTCGTGCGATAATATTCGGAAAACGGCACTTGCTTGTATGACATTACTTAACTATATCAGATGTTATAAATATAAAAAACAAATACTATATTTTGGGTGCGGGATCAGAAGGGTCCACTCAAACTCAGGAAAACGTAGCGCAACGGTGTTATTGACGGACTGCTTACAAGGCTACACTCTTAACCCGAATTAGACTTTACTAGAAATTTGCGAAGAAACCCGTTGCACTAAACCATTTTAGTTTTTACACAAATTGAAACTAAACAGCTTTAGTTGAATTAACATAGAACCTTAAGTTTATGCAGTAGACAAATCAAGTTTACATTAGTAGTCTTTACTCAAAATCATTAGTTCACATCAATTATTATTTGGAGTATACTGTAGGTTGCATAAAATAACTATTGCAAGTTACAACTACAAAAATATATATATTAGTAAATAACATTAACAAATGTTTTTAAGTAATGATAAATGTTATATTTATGTAATGTCAATGTAATTCGTTATTGTAGAGCTCTACAATTACATTTTTACTAGTAAGAATGCAAGTCAACAGCTCTACAGCTACATTCTTACTAGTAAGAATTACAGTTAGATAGCTCTCTAATACAATTCTTACTAGTAACAATTAAATTAGAGAGCTCTGTAATTGAATTAGAGAGCTCTGCAATTGCATTCTTACTAGTAATAATTCAATTTGAGAGCTCTACAGTTCAATCCTTACTAGTAAAAATTACAATTAGAGAGCTCTCTAATTTAATTGTTACTAGTAACAACTGAATTAGAGAGCTCTTTAATTCAATTAGAGAGCTCTCGAATTCAGTTTTTACTAGTAAGAATTCTAATTAAAGAGCTCTCGAATTCAGTTTTTACTAGTAAGAATTCCATTTAGAGAGCTCTCTAATTCAATTGTTACTAGTAAGAACTGAATTAGAGAGCTCTTTAATTCAATTATTACTAGTAAAAATTCGGAGGTAGAGCTCTGTAATTATAAATGAATGGAAGTCAATGGAGACATATGACTAGTAAAAATTGATTTGTAGAGCTCTTTAATTGGAATTGTTACTAGTAAGAATTGAATTAGAGAGCTCTGTAATTGGAATTCTTACTAGTAATAACTGAATTAGAGAGCTCTCTAATTATAATTGTTACTAGTAAGAATTGATTTAGAGAGCTCTCTAATTGGCATTGTTACTAGTAAGAATTTAATTGTAGAGCTCTCTAATTGAATTGTTACTAGTAAAAATGCAATTACGACGAGTAACGCTGGGGATATTTTAAGCTAAAACGGCTTGCCATAGGTAATTGCATAAATCATTGCTTAAAATGTTCTCAGTCCTCCCCCAAAAACAGAGATTACTGATGTAATGCATAATTTGTTAGTTGAACGGGAACAAAGTATTTTTGCACCAAGGTAAACAAAATTAAGTGCAACGGCGGAAAATTAGCTATTTATGCCAGTGGTTCTTAACCAGGGAGTTGGGGCTCACTTGAGGCCTCAGAAAATTTCTAAGGGGGCTTTAAGATGACTTAAAATGATTTAAAATAATAATAAAATAAACAATAAAATGATTTAAAAGACAAAACAAGTAATAAAATAAGATAAAACTTGGAACAAAAAAAAATGGCTATTTATGTGTAATATCATTCACAAAGAATGATGAGGAAAGAAATGTGTTCTTACAGACAGGTCTGTCTCACATGCCAGATTAAAAGTGTTTTCTAATCATCTTCATTGCTATTCTTCATCACAGTCTTGATACAAAGAAGAGTATCTGAAAAGAAATGAGAACCCAAATGTTCTGCAAATTTTTCTGGATAAAGTTTGGTTTATTTACTTGCAGATGCCAGTGTTACAAGTACTAGACATCTTTACATACCAGATTAGGATTAAAAAGATGATTTTGAAACACAAAGAAAGCAAGTGATTATAATAATTATTGGAAGATTCCGATCTGATATTATTCTGACATTAATAATATTTTCCAACTCAGAATTCACAATAATTTCAGATCCTGAAAGAACTATTGAACATGAAATGCTAATTTTCTGAATGACAGTTGCAGCCTGCTGTCCAGCAGGTGGAGCTCATGGCAAATATATGGTAACTGATTATTGCCGAGGTTTCCTTGTTCTTTGTTCCTCATCAGTCCTCTGTTACCTCTTAATGCTAAACTTTGGATTCTGGTTGTAGAGCTGGTCCTGGATCAGCATAAGAAAGTACCTTATTCCTGGAGTAAGCTATAAACTGGTGAGTATAGTGATAGTCTACAAAACTTGCATTTAAAAAGATGTTAGTCATATTTATGAGATGAAAGAGATTACTGCCATGTTTGCATTTAAATGTTTAAATGTTATGTTTGCATTTGTTTCAGAATTGTTGTTCCATTTGTTTATGTCCAAATCACTGTACATTTCTTTTGGGCCATGTTCCATATTCCATGTATATATTTAGATTAACAAGAACCCTTTTGAATATCTGAATATACTTTCTCAAAAAATTATTTGCTGACAGAAAGATATTAGAAAAGTAACCTCTTTCTAATATTTCTGAGATATTATATATGTATATATATATATATATACAGAATATATATATATATATATATATATATATATAAACTATAATACATTACGATGCAGTTGAGTGTCTGAAAACATCACATTCTGTTTGCACTTAAGTTTATTTCCATAATAAGTAATTTGTTTGAAAGTATGCTGAAAAGAACTTCTTTACCATGGTACTTTTTGAAATACTGAATAAAATATATATAATATCTATCTATCTATCTATCTATCTATCTTTAGTGTCTGCTAAATGACTAAATGTAAATATACTGTATATATGAGAAATGGCTTAAATTGCCATGGATAAAATGGGTTGTTAACTTATAATAACAAAAAAGGTCAAACCATTTGCAAATCATTTTACAGTCTTGTTTGTATTAGTGTGGTTGCCTCACAGTTTCAACTTTCAAACGTTTACTAATTGTATACCTGTGGGCTAACCTCAGTATCATTGCTCAAGAGATTGATCTTACACATTTACATGTCCATGGTTAGTTCAACTGCCACGTCATTGAAAACTACGTCTGGCCAGGTTCCCAGAGAAGTTTGTAGAAGTGCATGTATTTATGTACCGAAAACGTGTTGTTTAGTACAGTTTGACCCATAAATAGACATAATTGATGACAGAGATGTACTCTAAAAAAAACGATTTTCCCAGTAATGACATACATAATGTCAATCAAAACTTGAATGCAACATAAATACTGTATGTCATAAATAACACCAGATATCACACATGTACACAATATCAAATGACAACAGTTAACGCTAACGTGAATTTTCAACCTCAGTGAATTGCTTGTGGAGGCAAATAATCCTCAGCGTCACATTTGTTCATTTCATGACACATTGGCATGAACAACCATTTTTTAAAAGTAAATCTTAACTCATGATTTATGGATACTTTTGACTGCTTTGTGCTGTTTGACAAATACAAGGTTAGCCTATATATTTGTGACTGAAGAGGTTGAAGTGTGTTGAAGTGCATGACCTAGGTAAAGTGCCCATGGCACCTAATTACCCAGCCTTTCCCACTTGAGCAACCTGCCATAAGAAAACACTCACTCATACAGACACATAAAGACCTGCCATAGGAAAAACACACATACAGGCGCACAAACACCTTAGCCTTTATTAACCTTAGCTCGTGTTATTGGCAGTACTAGACAGAGACAAGACCCCAATTACTGTTGAAATCAAAGTTGCTACCGCTAAAGCTGCGGTTGAAGCGTGTGGAGGTTCAGAGTGCTGGAGTGGCTTGTTAGTCCGCTTAGTGCTTGTCCATTGGGACTCTCCATTTCAAATACCTGTCTCTCGGAGCATTGTTATTCAAATGGAAAATCGAACAGCCCAATGTTGCTCTGGTCATTCTGTCAAGTACACACCATGCTGTGGGCAATGGTTAACGGTAAATTGTAATTTAGAGTCAAGTTCAGACATAACACCATTTGTAAGTTTGCCTCATGGTCTTGGACAGTGTTGCAT